CGAGCCCTTTTTGAAGATGGGGACGACAATTGATTCCCCCCACGAGGAGGGGACCTGCTCAGTGTACCACACTTTAGCGAACAGAACTTGTAGTTCTTTCACAAGCTTTATTCCGCCGCAATCCCTTGGAGGCGGGATGTTCAATTCCACAGATTTTATGCCGTTCGGACACGGTCAGACATTCAATATCCCCAATGCATCACGGTTTTTCATCGAAGCGGCAACCATTGACACAACCAGGAAGGCATATGCATATAACGGCACATTGCTTCAAGTCAAAACAGTTCAGCTTTGTAGATAACACTCCGAAATCCTCAGTATGGTCGGGGTGAGTGTTTAGGGTCGCGGCTGGTCACCCTGCCCTTACACCTAACGAAATGCTCTCATACGACCAAGCATCTCGAACAGTCTCTGCTGAGAAAGCCCTACCCACTGCCTTCTCGTGGTGTTTTTCCACCAAAGTGAGAGGACGAAAAGCCGACATCCGGGGGCTATAACCGCGTTGATGGTCAACTGGTAGTTAATCTAGGGGAGTTGGCCAAAAACCCTGATTCCAAACCAACCAATAGGTGTACAAAACACCCACATCTTTCCGATTGTGGCAGTGATCACCGTCTCCATTGGGCACTGAGGTGTATTGGGCACCTTGGACGTTTGACCCCGTCCAAAGGACAATACCCGATGAACTGGACACCGGCTCCCAATGGACTGCGGTTTTTACACACCGCCCCGCTGCCTTGCGAGTCAGGCTTTAGCTAAGCCAAGGCCTCTGGTTGTGAATTCCCCGAGAAAATTCACCTGCCTTGGCCTGAGTAACCTGGCAGTATGCAGCCCACAAGCCAAGCATTGAACATTTTTTCTTTTGTATAAAGATTATTGTACCATGATTTGTTCGGCACACAGTCTGGTCTCAGACGAGTGTAAAACATAATAATAATAATAATAATAATAATAATACTTAAAAAGTATTTTACATATAGTACCCAGTGATATCTCAGCATCAATCAGTCTTTGACTGTGAGGATGCATGTGTTCAATTCCAGCCCATCAAACCATTACCGAGCACTTCCGTGAGGTGATCTTGACAGCTGTCAACTGAAATTCTTTAGGGTGGTCTGCATCACTACGTGACCTGGCGAACGATACAGAATGGCTTTCCAGTTGCAAATTCACCAACACCGAGACCTGATTAGTTACAAGCCAGAAAAACCTCACTTGCACAGGGCACCTTCGGAATTCATTTAGCCATCCATTCTCATCCCTGGAGAGGTCATACGAGCTAAAAAAAAAAGCACTGGCTAACTTTCTTTCAGGGCTCTGATCGACAAAAATGATAAAAACCCCTCACAAAGAAATGACCGGGTGATGTGTTTGAGTTCGAAACTAAGATTGCTACTCCAAACGATTTACCAGTATGGTAACACTGCGGGTCATAAATGGCGTCACTGAGCACCCGCAGTGTACAAATAGTCGATTCAGATCTAAAACGAAAGCACACAACTGTGCCGATCCGCCGACACGTTTATTTGCCTACAGTGTGATTATAAGCGACCCTAGTAGAAGAGTCAATTCAGGTCGCTGGACTGTTGCCTTGTCCAACGACTGTTCCCTCACTCACTTTAACCCTCTCTTTCGCCCTCCTCTTCTAATACATGCAAGCACCATCGAGCGGCCCCACGTCGCAGACTGCAAGCTTTTTCATGAACCTCCTTTTAGGTCGTGCACTAAACAATACAAAAGGAGGCAAACCCGAGTACTTCAAAATTTCTTGCACTGATGATGAATGCATAGTTGCATAGTTGATTTCATTTGACATTTAAAGACCCCAAAATCATACAAAATAAAAACCCGACCAGAATGGAACTTATCGTCTCACCAAAGAATCGAAGATAACCCCAACAGAAAACACCAAGGGCACTGCGGTTAAGCAAGATAACAGCAATGGCAGAACTAAACAAATACATAACATTTGCATAATCCCAGTTAAAAACTAAAACACAAGTTGACAGTAACAACACATACACTCACCGCTTCAGAAATGCCTGGACTGCACGGGAATTTGTTGCCGAAGGATAGTTGCAGTCCGCAACTAATGAGGTGATAACATCCAACAGATTTTCTAGATAGCATTCCGAATCGGGATCAAGCAACTTCCTCTCTAATTCATTAAGAGGAAAATTTTCCGTAGAGCACATATGTCCACAGAAATCATAAAAACACGAGAGCAAGGCCCTTCAAATTACGTGATTCTCCGCAAACAGCCTTCCGGTGGTTTAATTAAACAAAATCCGTTCAGATTAGTTTGCACAGAATTATCCATGACCTCAGCCAGTTCAGTGTTCAGAATTTCTTTAGTGGTGGTTCTACAAGATGGCTTTTATTGTTGGAAACGTTCTTCTAGTGCGTTTGTTCTCGTTCAACTCGTTGGTCGGTCGGTCGGTTACACAGGACTTGCGGCTATTGCCAATGCGTCCAGTTCCTTGCACTTGTAAGCTCTAATGCTATCCAACTGTGATTCGACTGCAGGAGAAGTTTGTGATCCTTCTCTTCATGTTTCTAGATGACGGTCAGCTTGAGGTACAAACGAGATGTTGAAATGTTCAATCGGTAATATAAGTAGGCTCCAATCAACGAAGGGTCATCGCCTGAACCGGTTTCTATGCGGGACCTTCAAGCCAGGCACGCTCTACCAGCGGGTAAGTTCAAGTTGTAAATGAATACTTTGATAACGCAAGAGTTTTACTTCATAAATGATAGAAAATAAAAGTTATTTATGGAAAGGAATAGGGTGATAGGAAAACTAACAAGATATTAGTCTAAACTTTCAATAGGGACTTCCGGGTTGGCCTACGGTTTACCTTGCACTGATCACTCCAAATCAGGGAATACACTCAGTCAGCAGTCATCCAGTTTGTGCTTGAAGCTTATCACATTCGTTGCTGTGATAACTGCTTCTGGGAGTTTGTTTCAGCTGTTCACTACACGGTTTTTTAGAAACTGCGCTCGAACTTCCAGCCTAGAACGCTCCTTTGTCGGTTTCAAAGAGTGCCCACGTGATGCCACGTTGTCACTGGTAGTGAACAGTGAAGCACCCGTGTCATTTATGCCTTTTATGCTATTAAAGGCTTCGATGAGATCATCCCTGAGGTGCCTCCGCTTTAGAGAGAATAGGTTCAGCGCAGCCAGACGGGTTGGGTAGTCTTGGCCCCTAAGGTGGGGGAAGCATCTTGTGAACCTACGTTGGACCGCCTCTAGGACCCTTTTGTCAAGCTCCAGGTATGGAGACCATGCTTGGATGCAGTATTCCAAATGTGGTCTCACATCGACTTTATACAGGGGTAACAACACCTCTGGATCCCGCGAAACAACAGTTTTCAGCAGTTGGTACAAGGCGTTGTTTGCCTTACGTGCCAGTAGGCACTGCTTCCCTGCTTTGAAGCTATTTGTGACTTGAATTCCCAGGTCCCTCATTTCGTCACTCCTTTGGAGTTCTACTGGGTTACTAGTGTTTATCC